TTTGGATCTACGCTTCTTTATGTGCATCTTTTTTCTTTCCATAAGACTCATAATCTAACCTATTTAATTCTCTTAATCCATTGAAGGGCAAATTCTTGGTCTTATTCATCTGTATCTCTCTCATATCTAATAGTGCATGAGATACAGTTGGTGTATGGTAAATATTCACACACTATATATATATGTTATAAATAAAAGAGTGCAAAGTTTAGAATGAGAAATACTAGCATCACATCTTTTCTCTGCCATTTCTGAGTTACGAGTCCTTTGGCCATTCCTTATAACCTTCCTGAGTTCTCTGCATCCTAATAAAGTGCAAGTGCATGGTAGACTCTCAGCCTAGGAAATAATCAATATTCCTAGTTAAAGTACCTTCTAATTGATTTTTCCCCACATTCTTTTGTGACTCATTCAGAAATCTTTTAGGATGAGTGTAACAAAATGTTTAACTTCTAAAAATAAAGTTGAGTTATATATAGATCTACAGCACATGTGATGTCTTCCCCCAAGAAAGAGGAGACTGGCTTGTTACTCTAAGAGTTAAGCATCCTCTACCACTCATTCATCCCTCATAAATCCACAAGGAACTGAAAGTGATTATTAAAAAACAGCAAAGAAGAGCTTTGCTGCTATTGGAACTGAAACTATAGAACAAAGTGTTAGGAGCTCTTGAAAAAGACACATGTAGGGCTGTTTTGGGGAACTTTAACTTTCCAAGTAGTTATTTACTCTTCCATGGGTTGGCTAAGAAGACTGTTGAGAGGATGGTGATTTTTTTTACATCAGAAGGGGCAATCCCCTTTGGGTCCATGTTTGGACGCTCCAGGGTTACAACCTGTTTCAGTGTAGCTCAGGCCTCTGTCATTTTCAGATTGCCATGCCTCTTCTAGGAAACCATACTAGGGCTCACCCACCCCTGAAGATTTGGGGAAGAGGCAGCGCTGACATAAAGCACTTCACATGAAGCACCTCCAGGAGAGGGGATCATTACACAAAGGTACATACATACATCCCCATGTATCCACTTTGGACTTCTGCTACACTTCCATCACATCTTTCATGCTGAAGATCAGCCACGTAGGATAGAATAGCTCCTTCCTTTTAAAATTCTCAATGTGACTTCAATTAATTTCATAGCATTGAGATGACAATGAAGCTTGCAGAATGATCCCCTTCTCCCTCTCCTATTTCCCAGCAGAAGTTCTGATATATCATCTATGACATAGCCACAGGAAGACTTAAAAATAGCTTTCAAAGCAACTCATCTTCATGTAATTCAACTGGATCCAACAAGTTATTTGTCAACGATTTTCAACCTTATTCAACTCCCTTATAAGGTAGTAAAAGGACTGTCTTTCCTGAGGAGATACGAGAAACTGAGCGGCAGATTAACGACCCACACAAAGCCACAGATAAATCAAGTCCTAAATAAAAGACCTTTAATGATTTTGAGGATGAGGGTAATGGCCACTTTCACTTAGTAACTATTATGTACAGAATGAAAGATGAAGAAAATGGTAGATCCTAAAAATAACGTGACTGCATTAGTGATCTATTGCTATTGCTGCACAAAAACAAGAGTAAAACAGTGTGTTATTTATGATCTTATTGTTTCTACGGGCCAGGAGTAGTGTAGGCCGGGCTTAGCTAGATCCTCTATTTCTGAGTTGTGTAGGGTACAAAATAGCAAGGGTTACAGTCTCACCTGAGTTCGACTGGTGAAGGCTGTACTTTGAAGTTCTCTAGGCTGTTGGCAACCTCTGTTTCTTGCAAGCTGCTAGACTGAAGGTTTGTTTTCTTGATACTTATTGGCTGCCCCTAACTCCTAGCCTTGTGGCCCTTTGCATGTGGTAGCTCCCAACAAGGCAGCCTGTTTTTTTCAAAGGGAGCAAGGAAGTGAGCTCCTTCACAGGACAGAAATTACAGTCCTATGTGACATAATCACATAAGGTGATCAAGTACAGATGGTCACCTTGTTGTTCCTATCAGCTGAAATAAGTCATAGGTCCCTCCTATGCTCCAGGAGAGGAGATGATTACACAAAGGTATAAATGACAGCAGGTGGACCTCAGTGTGTGCCACCTTACCATCTCTTTGCTTCAATATCAATTTGTGCCTTCTGTATAGAAATCTTTGAGTATATATTTGTCTTATATGCAAGAGGCCTTTGCCTCTTAAGGAATTTTAGGTGTCAACACAGATTTTACTGTGTCGTGGTTTTTCAAGCAATGCATATTTAAATTTTTTACAAGCACAAAGACATAGGATAAAGAAGGGTAGGGAAACACTTTAGCTTCTATATTTGCTTTCTCAGTTCTTTAAAATATAAGCCCTGCCCAGGGTTAGAACACACCAGGTTTTGTTACGGTGCATTCACCGTAATTTGAAGTTCAGCCATGGCCTCAAGTTCAGTGCTGATGGCTGTGTGCGTCTTCTGCCCACCTACATTACTTAAGAAGCAGGACCACAAAGAAGGGCCATTGAAAATACTTGAAAATTGGTACAATTTGCTTTTAATTTAGGTGTATTTAGCTAAATACGCAAGTGTAGTTTTCTTGGCAACTTGAGGTTTTCTCTCACTAAATGTAAGGAAGGATTATATCTGGATTATTCCATAAAGAGACAACACTTTAAGGGTTGGATTTCACCAGACGATAGCAGTGACTGCTACCTCTTTTTTTTTTTTTTTTAATTTTCCCTTTGCTAATATTTTCCTTGTAAAAGTATTACTTTTGTACAGACTACAGCCCCAGGAATATTTTATTCCTCTTTAACCAAAAAAGAAAAAAGAGACTGTAACCACCAAAAGTTAGAACTGGCTTCTAATACAGGCAAGAGGATCACAGGAGTAGACACACTGCATTACAAGCTGGAAAAAATTGAAAATTAAGAATTTGGAATCCAGGATTTGTGAGTGTTTTCTATAACAAGGTCAGGCTTTAGCGTTTTAAAGAGAAAAGAGTATGCCTCTTCTAATGCATATTAAAGTGGTTAATATATGCCTATGCAATGTAAATAGGCAATCAAACCTTGCTAAGAACTCTACGATCATTATAAGCTGACGCTGAAATACAGCTTGTTGATCACCCAGTTCAGCTCCTGCAATTCTAGCAAAACACTTGGCTGTAGGATAACCTGACGGTGGAGGTATAACTACAAGTATGGTATACTCACTGCTGAGTTTAGCGTGACTACAATCACCAGTTTATGTTTTGTCCTTCATACATGGGCATGAATCACCCAAAGGATACAGACTTGAAGCTATTTCTCCAAGTTGACAGAGGGTAGTCTCTCATCTCCCTTCCCCTCCCATCCTCCTCCCCTCTCTCATCCCTCTTCTCTGTGTTTACTTTTTGTAGTTTATTCTTTCAATAGATGAGGAAACCAACTGACAAGAACATCTTCCCCAGCCACGTGTGCAGATCCCGCCATGCCCAACCCACCTTAACTATGAGCCCTCTCAGGAGGGCAATGCCTTGATACATCACCTCATCTCTACAAATGAATCTCACCATTACTGTCAGGGTGATTGTTATTTAATTGTTCCAATATTCCATCTTTTCATCTACCATAAAAAGTGGGAGTACACTGATCTCTTTACATGATACAAATAACTAAGCCTAACTCTGGCACACAGAAGTGGATTTAACATATTCCTAGTTTGTTCCTATGGCTCTCAGGTCATAATTATTCTACACATCTCCGGGTCAGAATGTCACTGGAAAGTCATTTTGCCAATGACTTACCCAACAGACCTAATGTTAATATTTCATTCATATGCTTCTAGTTTCTTAGTCAGTATGCTCCTTTAGGGAGTATGAACTTTTGAAGTAATAAATATATCCCAGCCTCTGAAGCTTCCAATACTTGGTTTTCTGTATGGTCTTTCCAAGAAGCAAAAGAGCATGGCCTTTGAAGTCAGAGATAACTGGGGCCTGGAGCTCAGCTTTGCTGCCTCTCCTCACACGGGGATTGAATATTTCTGGGTTTCAAACTCAACACTGCACAACGACATGTTACCCTTCATCTAGCAGATTTATTCTGAAGACTGAATGCGAAATTACATAAGAAGCCTAGCCCAATGTTTCCCGCAAAGTAAATACTCATTATAGGTTACCTTTCTGTTCTTACTTTGCAATAAACATAGTGTTTAGAAAAGGCAGCTGAACTTTGGTCATCACAGTGTTAACCAAGCCAACTGAGGTTTATAAATGAAAAGTTTCCTAATCTAAATTATACTGTGGCATGCTACAAGATTGAAATGCATGACTGTATACCCAAGGCAGGCCGGAGAAGGGACCAAAGCCAAGCCATTCTTGCTATGAATGAAAACTGGGAGCAGAGAAGCAAAAGGAATCAGGCATAAAATGGTGAAAAGTCACCTTCCTTGTTCACAGAAATGAAGCTGGGAAAGAATGAGTTGAAGAGTAAAAGAAAAAGCTATTAGGAACTTCGAAGGGAGAGAGAGGCTCCTTTGTGCCAGATCTGAGCTACAGACTGTGCCTCTAGCATCTCAGAGTGTACAGGATGAGCTCTGATTGAGTATCACTGGTTCACTATTCAGGAAGGAGGCTTTTAGGCGAATGCACCCAACTGAGCTCAGTAATATATTCGAGGAAGCAGCTGAGTTTGTTAAGACATGCCCAGTGAACGCAACGTGGCTATGACGGGCTGAGAATGTTCTTCCCTATACTGTACAGGAATGACATGCAAATGACCCGAGAGGCACATTTCCTCAGTCATCTCCTGGAGGGACTGAATGTTACTCAATCTCCTCTGAAGCAAGAAAATGAAAACTGATTACAAAAAAGAAAAGTCTCCAATTTTCCTCAAGATGCTGGACTTTGGTCATGGTTACATTCCAGTCCGACTCTTTTCACTCCCTCTACCAGTGACACAACCCTCCCGCTTTTGAAAGGCCTGTTACGTTTTTGCTTCCTGTTTTCCAAATGGAGAAGGAGCGCTTTGGTCCATTTCCTTTATGCAGGCTGGAGCAGGAAGAGGCACAGAATCCAGACCCACAGCTTTTAGCAGAGAAGGACTGGACATGATATGTGGTTGCAAGGAACTCTTGCTGATGTGTGAATCCTGCCCCCATCCACATAATGTTTTACAAGCTTCCGTAAGATCCCTCCAAAAAATACAACTCAAATTATTACCGAGGCAGCTGGCACTAATTTTAAGAGAAAGTTCTATAATTTTTAAAGTTTTATATTCAGTAATATACTAATGTCACAGTGGGTAAACAGTATCTTCAAATTTTCTTTGACACTACTGTACCAGTATTTTATTTGCTTGTTTGTTTTACCCCAGAGCAGGTCCTTAGTCATTGAAGAAATGATGTAACCTGCACAAGTTTCATCGGAGCCCTTGGAGATACAAATAAGAGCAATCCTTTGTCAGGAATTTGCCCAGCTCACATCGAATGTCTCCTGGTAAGAAATTTGTTTTACTTCAATGGTCACAATTTTTTAAACAAATTTGACCCAGAAGGTGTATGCAATACTTGGAAAGCTATTTGTAATTATTCCCTTTCCTTGAACAAACGGACCATGTTGGATCCATGTGGATGTCCTAAGTGGGACTCAAGACAATTTGGGGATTCTCCATATATAAAAGCATAACTGGACCAAAAGAATACCAAATGACTTTTTAAAAAAACTTTAGTTTTATCCACAGATACAAAACTTAGAAGTTGAACTTCTACATAGGGAAGTAGAAAGACATTCACAGGTTGTGTTGACTCCGTTCTTTAGTTCGTCTCTTCCCAGAGCCCTGAACTTTAGAAGAGAAAACACACTATTGTTTTAAACAGCAGCTTCCCAAGTGACTCTAGAATGTGTTGTCAAAGTAGGGGAGAAAAGGGAATACACTGATAAAAGAACATGCAGTTCTGGTGCAGGGAAGTGCTGGTTCTCAAAGGGAGTGGGTGAACTGTTCCTCTACTCCCGCCTGGCAGGGCTGCCTCCGCTGAGATGGGGAGCGGCTAAAATCGCCCTCTCAACCCCACAGGTGAGGATGAGTACAGATACACAGCCTTATACTCAAGCTCTCCAAACCTTTCTGTTTCTCTCCAACAGTGGTGACAACTGCAACCAAAAAATGAAAAGACTAACAAAAAACTTGCAGAACAAAATGAGAGCTTCGAAGGCAAGGTACTAAGCAATAGGATGAGCCCTGGGAAATACATGGAAGTGTGAGTACACTTTTACTTTTTCTCCCATCGGATTCTCTATTTGGTGCTTAAAATAAAACCTGAACTTTAAAACAATTAAAAAAAAAAAATAAAGGCAAAATGCTCAACTACAAATTGCTGTGGGGAAGTGCCTGCCTATTATGGATACCAAGAAAGATTACAAACCTGACTTTGACCTTCCAGGTATGCAAATAGCTTCCTCATGTCTGCTCCTCCTGATTTTGAAGTTCTTGTATTGTCAGTTCAGACACTGCTATCTCAAGTGTGAGCATGAAAGTATTCAAAATGCAAAAATGAAGATTAATAGAGAATTTCAAGCACTTGCTTTCAAACAATGATTGGTACAGAGTGTCTACCCATTCTTCCGTGGCAGAATTACCAGAGACCACTAAAGAATACTTATTATCTCCATAATTAGATGTCTTATAGATGCAGTAAATGATGCAAAAACAGCACAGTGTTCAGAGCTGTGATTTATGGTTACTTAGTCAATATTATATGCAAACGTTACTTCCAGTATTACACACATGCTGGGCCCGAGGCTCCTGGAGGTTCCTGAGTGCAGGGGCACATCCGGGGAATTTGTGAGAACAGAGTCGCTGCTTACAGGAAGGAATGGGTCAACCACTCTACACTAGTTTTATTTCAAAATTCAAATAAGAAACAGTGAGTAAACAGACACTTTTTTTTCTAAAAAATAACATACACTGCTGTCTCTGGGTTCTCAGCATTTATGACTCTGTGAGCAGAAGGGGCCATGGGGTAGACTCTGAATATTAACAAAAGTTAGTCTTCTTTAATTATTTCATAATGAAGGTACAATAGATATTGTGAAAGGGAAAAGAAACTGCTCAAATAGGGAGGAGCAGCTGAGATGAAGGAGGGGAGAGGAAAAAGAAAAGAAGGAAGAGGGAAAGATACGTGTACATGTATACACAGGATAGCTAGGATAATTGTACTACTAATCTCTGTTCATTTATTGAAAGGAACATTAATGTGTAACTATTTGAGCAGTCTTGCATGCCTATATCTGGTTATATGTGCAACCATTTTGAAGATGACAATGTGTAGTATAACAACCATTGTTAATATCCTATCACCATGTTTTGAAATTCTATATCATTTTTATTCCTCTCTATGCTGTTTTATTTATGTATTTGTTTTTGTTATGTTGGTTTTTTAAAAAATGAAAAAACAAAGTTTATATGTGTATATAAGGATAGCTGGAATGGGTGTATTGGTGATGTCTGTAGTTTATTGAGAGGAACAGTCAATGCTGAAAATTTTCTGTTTTCTTGACCAATTTTACATGCCTGAATTTGGTAATTAGAATGACTGATCTCAAGGGCTGGGGATTTAGCTCAGCGGCACAGCGCCTGCCTGGCAAGCACAAGGTCATGAGTTCGATTCCCAGTACCAGAAAAACAAACAAACAAACAAAAATAAGTAAATAAATAGAATGACTGATCTGAAAACAATATGCAGTATAAGAACCATTGTTGAACTCATACCATTTTGTATGGTGAAGCTCTGCATCATTTCCAATTTTTTTAAATTAACTTTTTTTTTTCTTTTACTTGTTACTGTCTTTGATTGTTTGATCAATCTTATATTCTTACGTCTAATGGACTGAGCAACTTCTTTGAAGATAATTGTATGTAATATAGCAACCATTGTAAATTTCCATCACTTTGTCTTGAGATCATGTATCATTTCTGATGTTTTTGTGTTGTTTTGATTTTGTTTTCATTGTTGTTATGTCAGTTTTTTAATTTTTAAAATAAAAAATCTGTTCTAATTATTTCTTAGTGTAACCTTATAGTAATGAGGGAATGAGGGACGAAGGAGGCATTAATCAATTGGATTTGCACTTTCCACAGACAACATGGCTGATGTTTAAATTTCAATAAATGTTAAAATTCAATACGCTGAAGGGAAAGCTGTCAACCTTTGTAATACATCCAGATGACAACCTTTTATAGTTTTAAACTGGATTGTAAAGGGACTTACATAAAACTTTGAAGGGATAAGGATTCTATGCCAAAATAATTCATTCCTTGTATATACATATTTTTATTTTAAAGAGAGTAGTACATGAGACACAAACAAAAAAGTTGAACAGTAGAAGCATACCAATATCACGAACATAAACAAATCAAAGCAAGAACATTTAAAGTGATACAGGGTCTCAAGACAAATTAATACACATCAACAGTGGCTGTTACATTGCTTATCACTATCTTCAACTACATTGCTCAGATTATCAGATGTAATGCTTGGTCTAAGGAGGACAGTACATATGAATAAAAACTATTTCTATTCTCAAGTTTCCAACATCTACTGTCAGGATAATAACTATAATCCCAGGTAGACTAATAAATGTCATAAAAGAGACAGAGGTATTTTAGGCTGTGTGGTGCTCAACTTGAGACTTAAAAACTGGAATGACCATAATTGGTAGAGAGAACAATTCAGAAAGAGCAAAACAGCGTCAACAAATATGTGAAGCAAACGTCATTTGTGCGGAATATGTGGGAGGAAATGAAATTGGCCCATTAGGTTAGAAATATGTAACTTCCAAAATGAAGCGATGAGAGCCAAGGACAAAAAGGCGGTGGGGGAAAACTGCAGAAGCCTTAGCATGACGGCAGGGGCAGCAATAATCATGCTATTGACCAAAATAAAAAGCTTGTGGCTATGAAATGTGACAGCTTAGAATCTCTTCATTTTATTCTTATCTTTTCCTCTCTCCAGTTTGGAAGCAAAGGAAACTCCATCCAAAAATAAGTACAATCTTAAAATATGCTTCTGGGTCAAAGGTGTAGCACCCACCACATGTTTTGAATCCAATAGTAAAATTACAAAGGGGAAGAGAAAGTAACATGTGTCCCAACATGGAAGTGAGTTCAGTTCAGAATGAGATCCCTGTCTCAAACATGCCCTCATCTGGAATTGGTTCAAACCTCAACAACTGGCCTGAAGTAGCCTTGGGTAATAATAGATAAAGATACAAAACTGAAAGGTTAGAAAGTCTACTGGTCCAGAGAAAAACAACCTGGGTTCTCCTCCTGCATACTTTTTGGAATTAAATAATGATTAGCATCAGTGTGACCTCTGGCACAATACTTCCTTACTGACCGTTGCTTTTCCCATCCGTAGACAAGGAATTTTCACTAGAGGCGTTGAGGGCCGTTTTTTAACTTTAATAATCTGACTTTACATGTTGCATGCGCTGAGTAAGTAAGGCTCTCTTATCACTCGTCTCTAGGCAGACCTGGAATTTGAAATGTCCTCTGCAATGTCACCATCCTCTTTCTCCCTTCTAAGCCTACAGTGCCCTATTTCCCTTTCTCGGTTTTCCTAAAAGTATACGTTTATGTGTTCCTTCTCTGCTGTCTATAAATCACTTTATGATTTTACTGGTCTCACTTTTATATTTGACAGAGTTCCTAGCCCAAATCTTACACTTGAAAGTCATTCAATAAATATCCGTTGAAGGAAAGAATGAATCAAATGTCAGTTTTAGGGTCAGTTACTAAATTATATTTACCAAAAGAAGTTTCCAGAAAAGTCTCGGAAGTATTAATCAGAAATATCCACGAAGATCACCCTCTGCTGCTTCTGTTATTTTTTTACTTTTGGATATTTCCTAGGATATTTACAGGATAAGTTGTTGAGTGGAAAGAACAGCAAATCACAGAGTGAGCATGCACTTCTGTGCCAGACTGTAAGTCCTAAGTAAAGGTTTTATGTCTTAGATTCATGCATCAGAGAGAGAATTATTAAGGCCCAGAACTTAACTTTCAGTCTTGCCTCTCATGCGCAAATTCTACTAAGAAGCCAGATTATATCTTCGCAGTTTCACTGTTGCAACAAAGTGTAGAATTTGAGTCTGTTAGCACTAAAATTTACTTGTTAGGAAGCAATCGCACATTCTGTACTTGCTACGTCTTACAAATCTTTACTACCTGAAGTTAAAGAGCTCTTGGAGAAAACATACTACAGAAGGCTGCTTAGAACTTAGTTATGGTATTTGCTGTACACACCTCCCAACACCCATTCTGCATGTCATATGGTGAGTGTAAACTAAATGATTTCCCATTGTTCATGTCACAGGCATAAAATTATAAGAGCTTCAATCTTCAGAGTCGGAAAAAAAAATACACCAGGAAGCAGGGGGAAAAAAAACTAATTTAACACATCATCTTTAAGAATAAATGAGGTTACAAATCTACATTTGGAAGAACAGAATCTAGTCCATATGTACCAGATACCATTTTTTTTCTAAACTCAAACTCCGGATTCCAAAATGTATACTCTCTCTATATACTGAGGTAACAGCTTGTCAGAGAAATGTGGCAAGCAACAGCAGGACTAGCACAGCAGATGGGGCATATTTTTATACTGGCTTTAAGTGATAATGTGAGTTTACATAGGGTCATCCTAAATATTGTTTAAGTGCATGCAGTGACTCGAGTCACTGTCTAACCTTGAGTAGGCTGTTTTGCTTTCAGTTCTTTTCTCAATTTGCTACTGTCAAGACTTCATCAAAAGAAGTCTGTCTTTTCTTTGAAACAGGAGCTGCCCAAATTTCTAAGATCTTCTCTTTTCAGATTCTTGCAGACTGTACAATGCCATTAAAAAAATAGAGAAGAAAATAGCAACCACGACTTCTCTCATTAACATGGTGAACTAGCTCAGTGTCTGCCAGCAGGTTACAAATGGTACATGTCCCAAGAGAAAAAACGAAAAGCAGAAAGGATGAGGACGTGAGGTTGGGAATTTTAAATTGTCACTCTGACTCTCCTATTAACTGGTTCCATAGTATCTCTCGATCATTATTTCTACCTCTACAAGATGTGCGTATCAGAAACTACTGGACGGAATGGAAGATCACAGCGAACCCGTATAAAGCACATATTCAAGCTTTTGGGGTTCTCTACTTGCTCTCTAGTGCTAGAGTCTATTTTACTCACTGATAAGATGGACAGGTTTTAATGATGCCTAACCCTTAATATCAAAGGACTGCATGGATTATAATGAATCCCATGTGATCACATCACAATTTTCTGTTTGTTCATTCACAAAGAACAACGTACATCCATCTTCAGAAATACTTAAGGAAGCCTTAACTTGCATCAAGTGTGCAAGCCTAACTGAGCAATATAACACCGACCACTAGAAACAGTGGCTTGCTCTATGATAAGGATTCTGGAATGGGGAAGGATGGTTGGAAAAGGCTTGATGGAAGTCTTAAGATTGCAGCCTACTTTTAGGTTTAATTTCCGTTGAGAATCTCCTTTGTCCTCCTCCAGTGTAATACAATGAGAATGAGTAGTCAGAGAGCAGAGATTTTCATTACTGCATTCAATACTGGTACCTGGTAAACATCCCCAAAATATTTGCTGAATGACTCATGAATAGAGGGCAGGCTCATTTAAGCATATCCTTTCCCCTCTTATTGTAAGAATGTTCTACTTTGCAAATAGAGCTACACTGAATTAGAATTAAGCATATTACCCAAGTTTACAAAGACAGAGAGTACCTGTTGCAGCTCCTCCCCAGATCTAGTTCCCTTTTCTACTAAGGCAACCTATCTTAAAGAACCTTATAACTTCAGAGGCATAGGTCATCTTATTTGACTAGGGATAAAGATGTGTGACTCTTTCTGGCCCTTCAAGGGCAGAACCTACAGGGAAGGAATGACAATATAATATACTCCAGTGAAATGAGATCAAATCATAAATTAGGAAATAGAGAAGCAAGAGCCTGTTCTCAGGTCTCTTGACTACAAAGATAAGTATATTTTGTTCGGTAAATTATAAAATTCTACAGAAACAGTGAGAGTTACTAAC